ATTTTGGAATACTGAAGAGTACTGAATGTAGATTTTTTAAAAAAAAACACTTTGGCTATTACAAAAAATTATAAAATTTCTTTAAGAGTTATTTTTTATTTATTTATTCTTTTGTGGAACCAGGAATTGAACTCAGGCCCTTGCACTTGCCAGGGAAGCGCTTATTCCACTGAAACATCTCCCTGGCCCATAATTTTTTTTTTTTTTTTTTGCGGAACTGGGGATTGAACTCAGTCCCTTGTGCTTGCCAGGGAAGTGCTCATTCCATTGAGCCATCTCCTTGGCCCACAAGAGTTCTTTATAAAAGGAGTAACTGCTATAAACAAATCTCAAACTGGGGCTGGGACAGCATACCTGTAACCCTAAATTTGGGCAGCTGAGGCAGGAAGACTGCTAGAAGTTTGAGGCCAGACTAGGCTATATAGTGAGTTCAAAGCCTACGGTACATAGACTGTCTCCAAGAAGCAAATAAAAAAAAAGTTTTTCAAAATCAGTCTATCCAAGACTGGGTGTGGTGGCACTCACCTGTAATCCCAGCGCTTGGGAGGCTGAAAACGAAGGATCACTATGAGTCCGATCTATGGAGTAAAACCCTGTAGTCCCTGTACCAAATGCATTAAAACAACAAAGAAAATCAATCCATCCAATTATTCAGAAATATAGAAAAATGAAGTATAGTCTGTACATTTTAGAGGAGACAGCAGAATGTTTTTTCCTAAGTCATCTCTTTTCTCCTGTGGCTGCGGTGCTTATTGCATGCTAGGCAAGTGCTCTGCCATGGGGCTCTGGTGCAGCCTTCACTGAAAAGACAAGGTACTGCTCTGCTGTCCAAGCTGAACAACTACAGTCAAGGGATTCTCTTAGTGCTGGGACCACAGGTGCCTGCCAGGGCAGCTGGCCCTAACTGGCCTTCTAAAATTAGGTCTGCTGATAGGGAAAAACCTGAAACATTCAGTGTGAAGTTAGTTTGGAAGTCTCTTTAAGTTTCATTATATTGTTGCAGTATTTGAAAATTCAACTCAGGGTCCTGCCCATGGTGGTAGGTATTCTACACTGAACTATATCCAGCCCCAGGCTTTTGGCTTTTATATGCCAGTGGCAAGGGATTCCATTTCACTAGTTAAGAGATGATGATTCAATGGAATGAAATGTACATCCCTACAGATGACCTTTGCTTGTTATTTTCAGAAAACATGGTGGCACACACACCTGTAAACCCAGTTCTTTGGGAGGCTGAGGCACGAGGACTGCAAATTTGAGTCCAGCCTGGTAACTCAGCAACTTTGTAAGACCTTATCTCAAAATAAAAGTTCAAAAAGGGCTGAGGTATAGTTCAATGCAAAGGCCCAAGTTAAATATCCAGGATGATCCACAAAGCAAAAACAACCCCTCACCCTGCTAAAAACCACTGAATATCATACAAAAAACCCTACCTCATGTCTAATTTCCGTATCTTATTTTTAAAAAACCACCACTTGTGTGTATAAATTTATATAATTAAATATTTTAGAATGTATTACTTCATAGCACCCCATAATGATATATATGGATTATCAGGTAAAAGAAAGAACAATCCTCTGAAAATCAGCACAGACTTCATTTTTTTATTGTATAAGTTTGGCAAACAGCACAAAATTCCAGCAACATTTTACACATGTATAAAAGTCAGATGTTAAACAGCAGTGGGGACTTTTTTAAAAACATTGAAACAACAATACACACCGAAGATTCTTGCAAAACTAGCAAACGAAGGTGCCTGGCTTCAGAATAGACACCAAAGAAACACAACAAAAACAACAAATTCATCTTTACAAAAATCACAGCCAAGGAACAGAAAAGAAGATGTAGGGTGGAGGAGTACACGTGTCCACTACATGGACTGTACACAGGGAGATGTGACATCTTGTACCCTGAAATACCAAGTGCAGAGAGCCAAGCAGAGGAAATCAGGCTCATCACTGAGATTAAGAATTATCAGGGAATCAATAATGCTCAATTAAAACTTTCTATACAGCAATTCCTCGATCCTAACAATGCACCCCACCCCAGATCTGAGAATCTTTCTGTAGAGCAGTTCCTAGATGCTAACCATGTGTTCCACCCTGTCTGAGAAGCTGACACTTCTTTGTTGGCAGTATAAAATTTCTTACCAGTATCAAATATCAAAAATTAAAATTCTGATCAAACATAAACTGAAGAAAGGCATTTTCAGTATATGTATGTTACAGGGGCATCAACGAATGTGGAAGAAAATCTTAGATTTTACAATAAATTTCTGCTGAGCTTTGTTAAACCAAACAGCTCAACTATAAGGCAAGAGAAAATAACTCCCTCTAACTATTTAGGAGGTCTAAGCAAGAAAATAGAGGAATTCAATATCAGGAAAAGACTATGTGAACAGATCTGAGACAGCTGGCATCAAAAGAACATCTAGAAATTGACGTGTTGATATTCAGTCATTGGCCCACAAGCCTGATGGACAATCTATTGGTTTATATTATTAATTAACATTTTGGAATCAGCACCAATCCCCAAAACTTCAACTTTAATATGTATGTAATCTTTATTAAATACACCCTTTTTGTGCTATATAAACACATGTATAATCAAGTTAAACAAAGCTGGATTTAGTCAACATATATTTTTGTGATACTGGATAGATGGTAACTTAAATTCATTGACTTGTGCTTCTGTTTTGGGGCATTTTGATTGAAGAGAAATCCATTTCACAGGATTACATCTTGCTAAAGCATTCCTTAGCATTGGTCCAAACTTGAATTCCCTAAAACAAAAGCAATTTTAAAAACTCAATTCTGAAAGAATCCCAAAACCTAAGTATTTGGCTTAGCAGTACAGAGTACTTAGTTTTACTTTTTGGAATAATCCAGTGTAGTAAATACGGCATCATGTTAGGAGATGGCTAATATAAGCAAGTGTCTAACACTTCTGAAAACAAAATGTCTTGAATGAGATTATTTTTAAAATGCAGAAAAAATTCTTACAACTTGTAAATTGAGTTTTCAAGATTCACATCATAAACCCACTTATTTGTATAATTTCTATTTGTAAACCAAGTAAGTTTCAAGCAGTTTCTTTCAGTGTAATATGTGAAACAAACCAGAGAACTTTTTCAGCCTCAAAGAGTTAATAACGGAGTTCATAGCCAATTTGTGTGTGTGTGTGTGTGTGTGTGTGTGTGTGTGTGTGTGGTGGGGTGTGAAAGCTCAAGCCCGGTGCCCTACTCATTGCAAAGCCACTGACCACAGACCAGCTCCTGACCAAAGTCAGACAAAAGCTGATTCTGCACCAGATGACAGAGCCCAGCTCTGGGGTCCTGGCAATCTACATAGCAAAAAGCTGCACATGCCCTGACATACATGAACAAGAATGCATGTTTGTAAATCAGTGACAGTAAAGCTTAAGCCAGTGGTAAAAACAAAGCTACTTTTACAATAAATAAAACATATTATTCAGCAAATGCTAACTTTTAAGAAAGGAATTTTTAATACTTAATCATTAAAGTATATTCATATTTATTGAGGCCTCAAACAATAGAAAATATATCAAGAATCTTTTGTTTCCCTCCTCCTGATGGGATACAAAAGATAAAGAAATAAAAAGTAACAATCCTTTTTAATGGCTCAGACTGGCTGGGTGAAGCAGTATGCAGGATAGGGTGCTTTTTGCTGGAAGGGTAAGGTGGCCCCGTGTCCTGTCACAGTAGATGTCCAGAAGACGTGGAAAGGAGGTGCCCAAAGCACATCCCAGCGTGTGCCACATGACCCTGTCTTGTGGGGAGGAGGAACTGTGTTTTCTGCAGGCTGCACATCAGAGAGCACCTCGAAGGATGCACAGGAGGGTGTGCCTGTGGGGAAAAGCTGATGAGGTGCTCTGGGGAGCAAGGGAGAACTCCCACTTACTGCTGGAAGGGCCCTGGGCAATGCCAGGCCTACCTCTGAGCTACATCACAAAGCCCCTATTTTCACTTTTAAAATTTTAAGACAAGCTCTTGCTAGTGCTCAACTTGTGATTCTCCTGCCTTATCCTTGAATCATTTCAAATTTTCGCAATGAGCACACACATTACTTTTATAACAATTGAAATTTAAGTTGATAAAGTAATTGGAAAACCAGGTAAGTATTTTTAAAAGCTTCAGCCTACTTGATTTGATAAACCAGAAATTCACTATCAAAAAAGTTGCTCAGAACCTTAAGCATTAAAGTATAATACTTAGAAATATTATTCATTTAGCATTGAGAACTGAACCTAGGGCCTTTACACTGAGCCATATCTTATGCCTTCTTCTTTTTTCTTTTTTGAGACATGTCTGCTGTGTAGTTCAAACTGGCCTTGAACTATGTACTCCAGACTGGATTCAAACTCATAGCAATCCTCTTACCTCAGCCTCTTGAGTGCTGGGATTGCAGACATACACCACACCTAGCCATACTTCTTTATTTTTGAGATGGGGTGTTGGTAAACTGCAGTGCTGCCCTGATCTGGGTTCTAAATGGAGAGCTCTTGCCTCAGCCTGCCAGAGTGCTGGGATTATGTGCGCACCAGAAAGGCTGGCTGCTATTTACTTGTAAAATACTTTGGTACTATTATTATTTTTTAACAATAGCAAAGTTTTATTAAATGGAGGAAAAGAAACAGGTTCTATAGAGGGGAGTCTGGGCCAAATAAAAAAGTAGGAAAAGTAGTACATCTTACAGTATGAGGGTGGACACTGTGCGTTTTTTTTTTTTTTTTTTTTTTTGAGAGAGAGTCTTGCTTTTAGTGCAGTATGGCCTTAAACTCATGGCAATCCTGCCTCTACTCTGGACTGCTAGGATTACAGGTGTGTATCACCACACCTAATTTGTTATGCCTTTGTTTTGGTTTATTACTACTGCAATTTAGTCAACAGATTATATTCAAATGACACCTGGAGTATAATTAATTAACATTTGAACCAGGCAATAATATAAAGAAGCTGATACATTTTAAGTTAATATACAAGTAAAATATACAAGTTATAGAAATTTATCCAAGAAAAACAATATAATCTTGACTTCTGACACTTAAATTTTAAGTTTCTAAAGAAAAGACCACTGTCAATTTTCAAATATAGAAGTCTGCCAGGCATGTAGGCACACATTAGGGGTGGGACATGCACTCAGATTAAGATCACCCTAAGACTCCAGACTGTCTAGCCAGGCTAGTGGTGTCATCCATGCAAACTTGCTACATGACCTGCTTCCCATTGGATCAACGTCACCTAATTGGCAACACTTGTAATCTTATTGGGTGATCATAGTTTTGACCCATGTTGTACCCACCTTGTGATCTTGCTCTATAAAGCTTCCTTTGAGAAGCAGGCGTGTTGGTAACCCATTTGGGCCCCTCCTGTTTCTTAGGAGCTATTCTTGTTCCCCATTCCTTTTTTCCAATAAATTCTCCTATTTTCACCTCTACTGTTCTTTAGAATTTGTTCTTCGACTTTGGGGAGCCTGAACTGGGTGTATCTGACAACAGCCTCTCCCTATGTCATGGAGAGAAGCACCACTGAAGTTTGAGGTGCTGGCACTGTACCAGCCAAGTGATTACCAGTCACAACCTTAAGTTCTTAAAGAAGACCTGAAGAGCCACAGTACAAACTCCCTTAGGCATAAACATCACTCTCCCTAAATCAAACAGAGCCCATTTTCTTAGCTAGTGAGGGGGACAAACATCTCTGTGACTGTTGCTATGGGTGATACCAGAGAAAAGGTTAAGAAAAGTGATGTTTCTTAGGCAAAAAATAAAACTTGTGGCTAAGCTAAAACAGGAATTGTTTATGTGACAGAGGAGTGGCTGGGGAGCTCTGAGAGCCTAAGGACTGCCCTGAAGGCACAGATCACCTTAAGCAAACAGTTCAAGTCCAGAGAACACAGGGCTGAGAGGCAAGCTAGGTGCTAGGCAAAACGGTTTTACCTGACATCAACTCATTCAATGGGTAAATAAAGGCACCTGAGTGGTTGAGCAGTTCTTCCCTCACAGCTGGAGAGAGGGCCACCTCAGCTTCCTGTGTATTGCTTCTATCTTTTTTTCCCCATCCTCTCTTGTCCTTTCCCCCAGGAACTTCAAGAGCTGCACTGGACGTGGCAATATGAGTGTGATTTTTACCCCTCTGAGGGCTTCAGAAATACAGATTCCTTTTGTTGAAATATGGAAATTCTTAACCATGGTTCTCTGAGAGCATGCAATCAAATCACTTTATAAACTGGCTTGCTAGACAAACGCGCAGCACCAGTGTCACTCTGTGGCAGAGCACTTGCCTAGCACATGAGGAGGCACTAGGCTTAATCCTAGAAAAACAGGCATTGCTACCAGAAATGGTAGTTATGCTATGGCTCTTAGGTTATGAAAAAGAGTTCATGAAATACTTCTGGTTTTCTTTCTTTCTTTTTTTTTTGTGGAATCAGGGATTGAACTTAGGTCCTTACACTTGCCAGGGAAGTGCTTATTCCACTGAGCCATCTCCCTGGCCCATTAATGTTTTTTTTTTTTTTTTTTTTGGTGGAAGCGGGGGATTTAACTCGCCCCTGTGCTTGCCAGGCAAGCACTTATTCCATTGAGCCATCTCCCCAGCCCCTTCTAGTTTTCTTCATGGACTAGCATTTCAGGAAAATTTTGGTTACTGTTAAAATACTCCGAAGTCTCGTGTTCACATCTTTTGTTAAAGGAATCAGCAAATTAAAGGCTGATTTTGCCAGCAAAACATACTGGATCCCCACTCACCAAATAAAGTATACCCCATTTTTGAACCAAAGAGTTCCTCATTATTAGACATGGTATTCTGCAGTCCTGCCTGGAACATCATGCAACGAAAACACTGTTGCCGGCTGGCTGTCTTGTAAAGCTCAAGTTATAAACGGGGCACATAAACTTGGGATGGGAGACCAGTGCAGACACAGGAAGTGACATTTCAATGACAACACTTTTCTTTCAGTATTAAATAAGGAAATTAGGAAAAGTTCTAGAAGGGACGAATGAAAATAAAATTGTTTTTTGGTGCAAGTAAGAGCACTTAAACCCCTCTGTGAGCACCCTGTGAGCCCGGCAGTGCCTGCTGGCACCCACACCCACCTTTCTGCACATACTGATCTGCATGACAGCATAGCTTATGAGAGCCTCCTTTAAATCCCGGTTCTTTTGTTCTTTGAAGCGTTCAATGTCAGCCCAAGCATTTTTCACAAATTCTCTGAAAAACAGGGTATAATCAATATTCTTAAATTATACAGACTGTACATTATAAACTCAACAAACCAGTTACTGAGTTTGTGTTTAACTGTCTATAGAGAAAGAAAAGTTATTCCTCCATGTTATTTATTTATTTATTTTTTTGCGGAACTGGGGATTGAACTGAGTCCCTTGTACTTCCAGGGAAACGCTTTTTCTACTGAGCCATCTCCCTGGCCCTTTTTAAAAAAATGTATTTTGTACAGGGTCTCACTACACAGCTCAGACTTATAGTGATCCCCCAGTCTTTAGCCTCCCCAAAGTGGGGGTTATAGTTGCACTGCAACACGCCCAGACTAAAGTTATTCCTTATTTCTTTCCCTGAAATGAATATGGGAAATGCAGATACAGTTATCTATTTGTCCATTTTAATAATCTCTTTTGTCACAAACTGTACTTATTCCTATTCCTTTTTGACATGTTTGTAATATGTAGTTACATTCACACTGGGGAACTAGGATATAAATATAAAATTGTGTCCCATTTTCCATCCCTTTCCCTTTCCTTTCCTCCTCCTGCTTCCTTGATCCTCTTCCAAAATGTCTGTCTCCCTGTCTCATACCTTTATCTTTTATTTTACTCTATTTATACTTAGGGTTTCCCAACAAAGATAAACCATGGGGTACTTAACCTGCTGTGTTTGGCTAACCTCACGTAACATCAGGGATACAAGATCCATTCATTTCCCTATGTTGACTCGAACCCAGCCTTCCCTATGTGTGAACAACTCTCCACTGTGTGTACACACTATGTGCGCTTTATCTTTATCCATTCATCTGCTCAGGGCTTTAAGGCTGCAAACTGAACTGCTATCACCATGGGTGGTATGCAAGAGTCACTAGACTGTGTTGACTTGGACTTGTGGGGGAAAACCCAGCAGAGGAACAGTGCACCTTGGTGCATAAACTTAATTCTCAGCACAATCCTGTGAAAAGAATTAAGTTTGTGCCACTGTATTGCTGAGTTAAGTAGAATTTTTATTTTTAATGCTTTGAGGAATCTCTATCCTGATAGTATATTTTTCATTTAGAACAGATGTAGCTGGCTCCTTGAACCAGCTCCCAAGTCTTATAGGAGCCACAACGAAGTACTTTCCTGGCATGTAATGGCTTGTGTCTAGATGTCCCTCAAAGCCTGCAGGTGGGCCTTTCTCAGAGGTGGCCAGATCTACAGTGTGTGACGCTGTGACTGACTCGTGGTGCCAATGCGAGGCTCAAGGGTGCTAGGATTCCAGGTGTGAGTGCCACCGTCACTGAGTAGCCTGGATAAAAGGGGCAGGAAGATGCTGTTAAGGTCTCTTGTTGCTTTGCTATCTTCTACCCACCATGAACTCTCTGTAAAGCTACCCTGCTTTGGAGCTGGCTGATGATGGACTGAAACCTCTACAAACTGTGAGCTAAATAATAAATAAGCCTCTTCCCCTTTAACTCTCGGTGTCAGGTATTTTGTCTCAGCAATAAAAAAAAGTGACTGAAACTTTACCTCATAATATCCATTCTTGACAAAACAAATTATCAGCCAGGGTGAACACGCACATAGTTATGTGACCACTAGGCTTTGGGTGAGATGTTACCTGCCTGGAGTCCTAGGTACTTGGGAGGCTCACATGGGATGCTTGCTTGAGTCCAGGATTTCAAGACCAACTCAGAGCACCCACTCAAATTCTGACACGTGGTTTTCTTTTTAATTCTGTTCACGAAAATTTACTTTGACTTACTGGATGCCAGAAGTCCTACAAATTAACAAAGCCTTCACACTAACTTAGTAATGTAACAGTAAAGATAATGAGCCAAACCGGACAGCGGGGCTCCAAGAACTGAGTTTCTAGGAACATGGACAAAGGACAATCAGCTACCAATATAGAACTATATGTTAGGTTCATAAACCAGGTGCTCTCATAGGCAGAGGAAGCAAGGGCAACTCCATGATGATGTGGGCTGTGAGCAGGCCATGGAAGGACAATCAGATTTGTGGCGTGACTGGGAGAGCAAGGAGAGAGACAATGTGTAAAGAACAGAAGTCATGAAAAGTGCATACAAATAACTTGAAATCTCTATTAAAGCATACATTACTTGTCATGCTGCATATGCAAGTTTGCCCAACATCTCAGCATTTTTACCTGCCTTCCGTGTTTTTAGACTTTAGCTGCTGTTCCCCTTCACTGATCTGTTCTTCTAGCACCTTTATTCTGGCTTCTCTCTGCTCTGGGGCTTCTTGACCAAAGAGCTTGGTGGTCATTCCCTTCAAGGAGAACGTCCTCACAGTCTAAAGCGAAATAGCAGTGGGTGAATGGACAACAAAGCACTGTACACACCAGGAGCTGTCACTTAGCCCGGATAGGAAGCCATTCTGACACCTGCTGCCACATGACCTCAGCAGCCTCACAAAGGCAGGCACTGTGATTCCACCTCAGCGAGGGGCAGGAATCAGAGGCAGGAATCCATATGATTGTTTCCAGGGTCAGGGGAGGGAAGGATGGAAGTTGGTGGGAGATGGCCTCAGATTTCCAGATTTATAGGATGAACAGTTTTGGAGGTGGCTCTGCAACAGTGGGAATGTACTGAACATCTCTGAACTGCAGGTTAAAGTGGTCATGATGGTAAACTTTATGTTACGCGTATTTCACACACATACCCACAACTTGGGAATAGAGAGGCACTGGCCATTTTCCCTGACCTGACCGAAGTAACAGCTAGGGGAATGAGAACACTATTTCTTTTCTGTTTCTCCAGGCACGGTCTCATTCTGTATCCCAGTCCAGCCTTGAATTTGTGGCTATCCTCCTGCTTCAGCATTCTAAGTGCTAGGATCATAGGCATGTGCTACCACATCTGACTTTCAATACAGAATAGTCACAAGGGGGAAATTTTAATAGAACTTGATCAATTAAACTGCCACATGAAATATTAGACAAGTTATTTCTTATTGTATATTAGTGGTCATATTTTTTCAAAATTACTGATACAGAAGATAATACTTACTAGATGACTATGTAATTATTCCAACCAAAGAAGCATGTTTAAGCTCAGCATAACTCACATTGAAAAGTGTTGTCTACTAGTGAAGTAGACAGGCCCTGTAGGGCAGCCCCGAATGTTGAGTTTCTCCTTCTCCAGAGCTTAATGAGGGACACACTCCTCCTTGCAAGAGTAAAGACCCAAGACCATCTGGGGACTTTCTGAGTTTCAGGAATAAACTGCAGGCCTGGTCAACACACAGCTTGTTGTCAAAGGTCTCCTTTCTCAAATATCTATGACTCTTCATGGATTAGCAAGTGGGTAATCTACGTGACAAGCACTTTTATACCTGAACTACTTGTTAATTGTGACAACTGAAGGTCACTGAACAGTGGCCTCCAGAATGCATCTCTCACCATGGCAATGAATACAATCCAGTGAAGTAGTGGCAAAACACAGAGAAGACTTGAAAAATGACCTGCCTGAGCTGGCTGTGGTGGGAATAAGTGCTTCCCAGGCAAGCACAAGGGCGTGAGTTCAATCCCAGGTTCAATCAAAAAAAAAAAAAAAAAAAAAAAATTGCAATGATTCTCCTGCTTGGGGCTGGGGAGATGGCTCAGTATAAGGGCTCTAACTAACCCAGGCAAGTGCAAGGGTTCTGCAAAAAAAAAAAAAACCTCTCATAACAACATATAGACTATCTAGGTCTGGTGGCTGATGGCAGTTAGCTAGAGCCCTTACCTAAAGGCCTTCTCGTTGATCTATGTCTCTACTCCTTTTCTAGTTTTTGTTTGAGACAGTGTCTCACAAAAACACCTGGGCTGGGGTAAAATTCTCCTGCCTCGGCCTTCCAGAATACTGGGATTAAGATATATGACACCATAGCTGGCTTTTTTATTTTAAGACAGGGTCTACTGAGCTACAATCCTGTCTCAGTCTCCCACAGTACAGGGGTCAGAGGCTATGCCTGGCTTTGCTGATAGCATTTCTTTGACAACAACCAAAGAGTTATAAGATCACTCACAGATTCCCTTCCTGTGTAAGACTGAGTGTCCTGCACACTGCAACTATAGCCGACCTCACATCAGCCTTGTTGAAGAAGGACACTCACCCCCGTGGCCAGCTCCTCACACTGCTGCTTCTTGGAAGCGAGGTCCTGAGCAGCCGTCTCCAAGTCGTACTGCATGAGTTCATGCTTCCTGCAAACAGCCCTGGGGAGGAAAAGACACTGCTATGTGGCTTTCCCAACTCATCACGATAGGAAACCCTTTTCAAGTAGGAGAGGATGGCATTCACAATATCTTCTAGGCCCAGTACTTATGCATCCAGAATTTTCTTCCTTGGTACTGAGGGCTGAACCTGGCACTTACAAGCTAAGTACTCAACCACTGAGCTAAATCCCCAACCCCATTTAGAATTTCTACATTTAAACTATAGTAGCCAAACATTAAAAATTAAATCTACAAATTAAATATAAACTTTACATATACTTAAACAAAAAAAGGACTGTTTGTATTTTTTCCTGTAAACATACCATTAGCACATACTAACTTTTAAAAAAATATATAACATAAGAACTGATGCTACCATTTTAGGTAGCAACTGAATGTTTCAGAGTTGTCTTCCTTTTTAAAAGAAATGTCTAGCCTGGCATAGTGGTGGATGCCTGTGATTACGGCACTCTTGGGAGGCTGAGGCAGGAAGATCACTGAATTTGAGGCCAGCCTGGAGTACACAAGGAGTTCAAGGGCAGCCTGCACTACATGGTGAGATCCTGCCTCAACTCCCCCCACAAATAAATGTCCATCAGCTTTTATTATCACAAAAGCAAGCCATGCTTGCTATAAAAAAGGTTCTAATACAGAAATGTACAAAATTAATAAAGGAAGTTTTAAGATAAACCTTAATCTTCCCACAACCTATATCCAGGCACAATTCGTATTAGATGGTGTATATCCTTCTAGCATTCAGCTGGGCGTTTACAAATACACATGCCTGCATACCATGAACAGTTCTACATACTGTTTGGTTAGCTGTGTACCACAGGCATCTTTTCAGATTAATATGCATTAGTCATTTTTATTACTTTTAGGAACTACCTAGAATTCTACCATATTCAGCAACTTTCTTTTGTTTGGTGACTTGAAAATATCTTGGTGAAACTTTCTACACTCAAAGAATTAGAAGAAAAAAGAGTAACAATATGCAGATGTTTTCACAGCAGTTACAGCTTCATGGACTTACTCATCTGTTTTCCTAACAGTATCCCCTTTCATGTGACAGGAAAACTACATATGCCAAAAAAATGACTCATTTTTCAAAATCAAGCAGAAAAAACTACAGCAATGTTCTTCTTAATCAAATAGGGCTAACAGCTATTTCTGTTTGGCTCCACAGAAAACGCTATCAATAAAATAGATGAAAAGTTCTGATTTTGAGAACTTATAACCTTGATTCATAACCTGCTGAGAAGGCACACAAATGTGGGAAAAACTATAGAATAAAAAAGGCAATAAGCCAGCTTACATTTCTGTTCTTAGCACTCTACAACATGGTGAAATACAACTAGACTTCACTCATTATCTGAGAGAGATTCATTTAAAAAGTATCTTGCAATATTTTCATTTTACAGAAGCATATGCAACTCTGAGAATCAGCCATAGAGGCTACATACAGAATTTTTTAATTACTACTTACCGTAGTGCTTCTGCATAGAAAAGATACTCTTTTAATTGATCTGCATAATGTTCTTCATCTTCTAAAATATCATCAATAGAAGATGCATACCTGCTTAAAAAACACCACATTAATAGAGCAACTTTGACTGGGTCACAAAGCATTGATATTCTAAAGAAGTGCTATTCAGAGTGTGGGCCCCAGAGCACCTGCTACCTGTCAGCGACAAATGAGAAAGGTGACTATTAGCATGTAGAAACATGGATGACAATATGTAATTATGCAATGATTATGCCAAATTTCACCAAGTACAATGGCCTAGAAATAAAAGGAATGGATGAAGAAACTGCATGATTGGAACTTTATTCAAAGATATTATAAAAGGGCTATAACACCTATGAAAGGATGTGTCTGATGTAATTGATGCACACATGTTCTTTTGGTAACTATATATAATAATACCAAAAAGCTACAAAGGGAAAAATGAATAAACAAAAATTACAGAAAATCCCTGGAGACTTTCTTTGTACAGATCCTCTATAGCAGGCTCAGCTTCGACGAGGATGAGCCTTTACTGTTGTGTGACCCCATTTAAGTACCCAAGCCTTCTTTTCCAAACCCTATGAGCATACAGCTCGGCCCTCAGTCACCTTCCTTGACTCCTGGAGTTTTTACTTGAGGATCTTGGTCAACAATTCAGAACTTCATCAAAGTGATGTCCTCTCAGCTGGTTTTACTTTCTGGTCACACTGTAAGTTCTGTATGGCTGAGGGGCCATGTGTTCATACTGCTGCATCATAGAAGTTTGTCTTTAAGCTAATTCTAATTACTTAGAACAGAGATTAAAAAAAAAATACATTTACGCCTTCAGGCTTATTTCAACTAGACAGGTAAGCAAAGTTTACTGAAGCTGTAAAACTAAATACATAAAAAGATGTTAAGGTTTATTAGGAAAGCAATGTGCTTACAGTATTTATAAAGCAGGTAAAGTACATCATCTGTAATTACAAACTTACACCTACTGAGAAATTTCCTCCATATGACTGAAGAGAATTGATAGTCATTTTAACAAAACAGTAATAAAATCTGCCTTAGTTCATAAATTTATCACCCTAGAAAAGTTAACATTAAGAAAACATCTGGTATTCCCTTTCTGTTCTTCTTGCCCATGCTACCTCTTTGGCTAGCCATCAATTTTAAATTTTTATGAGGATCAATTCAACAGTATCTTCTATTTATGTCCTTTTGAAGAAATCTCTGCTTACTCCAAGATTACAACAATGTTCTATGTCTTCTACTAAAAGCTATACACTCAGCTTTTACTTGCATTACTGTCCTTTTCTATAAAGTGTGAGCTACAGCTCCAAGTCCCCCACCACAGACACCCAGAGTTTCCAGCCAGCACTATTTGTGATGGGACTACAGAAGCATGGGAATACTCCTGAACTGTTTAGTTTTACTTCAACACGTTATTTTTATAGCTATAACTTCACTGCCACGCTTGAAAGCAGGTAATAAATTCCAGCCTCATTCTTTGTCCAAAGTATTTTGACTGCTCTAGGTCCTTTGAATTTCTGTGTAAATTTTAGAATCAGCTCATTCATTTCTATAAAAGCCATTAAAATTTAATGGACCTTAAGAGGGGAAGAATAAGCATCTTGAATTTGAGTATTCTAATCTATAAATATGGTTTACCTCTTTTTTTCCTTTCATTTTGAAGAGTATAAACAAAAGCAAAAACAAATAGATGCAAAGACAGAAACAGGGTAACATACAATACATGTTACAGATTTTCAAATCAAGACTAGCAAATTAACAATGGTTGTCATATTACCTATTCTTATTGTCAGATCTGTGGCTCAGATTAACATATATAGTTATGCAAGATTGGACAAAAAATTGAATAATAACTCTTGCTTTCAATAAAACTTAATTACTGCTTCTGGTTTTCTTTAGTTTTTCTCAGCAATGTTTTATATAGTTTTCATGTTATTGCAAAGTTTTGTTTTCAAATTTTCATTTAC